GTTTTGAATGAAGTGAAGAGAAGACGGATATGAATGGTATTTATCAATGGAGCAAAGTGCTCATCGCTAAGTGGGATTGGCAGCGTGCCGAAGAAGGGAAATTCGGCGGAGATGCGAAATGGCAATCGTTGAATTATTATGCTGGCCTCATGACACAGTTTCGATGACTCTTCTCCACGACATTCCGAACTCGCAGGTAAATATGTATAAGTATCGATAAATTCGGCGCGCGCGTTTTTTTCTTCGTTTTGGGCTTCGAAAATTAATTTCGTAAACAAATTTCATACTAATTATGACACACTTTTGGCAGCGATACAAATGCGCAATTTGCGCGATACGCTAATGATAATATTATTGATATCGTTTCGAAAGATACTTGATACAGCGCATAGCACACGATTTGTATCAACATCTCGGCGGTTTTGTTGATTTACGCGCAGCGAAATATACAATTATTGCAGGTACCGAGTTCTCGTATGAATAATAAACGTATACCGTGCGGGACGAGTGCAAACGTACATTACAAACAACATAATATTCAGGCAGCCAGTCGAAGTTGATATCGAATATACATACATACGTCCGAGGGCTGTTTGCAGTGATAACAAGCGTGTGTTGCTCTTAAAGGACCGCCACTCGAGGGCGAATTTGCGTGCGTTCATTTGCGCTAGCGCTGGCCGTTTTATTATTACGCTCGCTTATATTTCCACGCTTATGTCAACAATTGTGAGTGGATTGTTTTTCTCTAATTTGTGAGTAATTGATGTGTTTTGTACACCGCTACTTGCTTTCGGCGCATTATTGTTTTAGTTGTATTTGCAAGATTATATTACAAAAATAATGCCGTATATATAAATCTGCTATATATTGTTCTGGTGTTTATGTTTGTGAAATATTATATTTGGATTAATGTTTTACTTTAAAATTTAAATGGGTTTTGGTGCTTCATAAAGAATAGCGGTCAAAAATTACAAAAACACGTTTTATTTACTGTTTTATAAAATAATTTAAATATGTTTTATACTAGACAAAAAATTCTTTTAAAAATTTATTCTAGATTAAATTCTACATATTCTAAATAAAATTGTTTTAAAATTTAAAATATATTTTGCGTAAAACTCAATTTAAACAAATTTTACATGAGTTAATCATATTTTAAAGTGGATATCACTCAGTATTACGATTATTATACAAGGGAGCATTAATTAAATACAAATCTATGGCATATTGTTTATACGTTCATATTTCTGAAATATAATACATTAATTAATGTTTTGTTTTACAAATGAAACATGTTTTCGACATGATAGAGACTTCTGTTATTATAATTACATAAACCGAGTTTTGCTGGGGTTTATTTTTATTAAATATACAAAAAACACATTTTAAGTTAATTAATTTTATTGTTCATATGAGTTTTTAAAGTTAATAACAGTAAATTTGAGTAGAATCAATTTTTTTACTAAATACTTAACTAAATTTCATTGTGTTGAGGTTATAGATTAAGAAGTTTAAAAAGCATTAATATTTCTTGAGTTTAGACCGTTGTTCTGGACATTGGTTAATATCGAGAAATTAATTAACCTAGCATTACGCCCCATTTGCTCCGTTTGAAATTGCAACACATTTCCCGACATCGTGTTGATGCTGATGTTCTCAGCTCGATGGGCCAGCGAGATAATGACGGCAACAATACAAACCCACCCCTCGGCGCCGCCGCCCCCCGTCGCAAAGTCACAAGATGCGCAAGATGAAGCGACGGCAATCGTCGAGCAAATGCGCGCAACATCCGCGGACGAGCTAGGCTAATATATCCTCGTGCTTCATTAAGAATGTTAAATATTCTTAATGCCTTCACGGCGCGCGCAAGTTAAGAGATAATTTCACTGTCCATTTACTTTATTGCCCGAGAATTCGAGAATTATACTCGCTGCTGCTTCACAAAGCGCGCATTCGTACATTTTGTACACAGACGAAAAAAACTTGAAAGGTTTGATGTTTTTGTGCAATCAACTTTGCGTTTGCGCCATCCAACATGACAATGAAAATAATAACACACGTTATGCATCTTGGTCATTACAGCATGCCATGGATAATTCTTATATTTTGATTGCGTTCACCTGAGTTTAGAGAAGGTGATTACGCAAGCGGCGGCGGAATAATTGTAATTGCAATCGGACGCAATTGCTCGTTTCGATTTCGTTTGATTCATCGCGGCGCTTTGGCTCTCGGCTACTCGTCGTTAATTTTAATGTGTGCCACACACACTCGGGCGTGATTATGTGGAATCATCGATAGGTACTTACTAAGCGTTACGAAAAAGACGTGCATTACAATAATTGGCACAAGCGACGAACACAACGGTTTCAATTACGGGAGAAAGCTTGGGAACATCAACGCGATTACTTTTGTTAAGTTTAAGCGTTTTGCATTACCGTTGATTATTTATATATTGATTATTTATTGACCTCGAAGGTCAAATTCAATTATGTTTATCGAGGACGTGGAATTTTAAAAAAATTTAAAAGTTTTCTTTTATTTGCTGCATTTCTATGACATCAGAAAGTGAAAATCTAAACAATAAAACATTAAGACGGATGTAAAAATCAACGCGCCCAGTTTTACGACTCCACACTTAAAGATATTGAAACGCTGGCGAAAAGAGAAAGATGTAAAGTGTTTGTAAACATCACCAACATCATCAATATTTGCAGAAATGAATTTAACGAGCCTAACAAACCGAATACTATTAGGCAGCATGTCCGAACGCGCTCCGGGGATAGTTTGCAGAATAAAAACTTTCCCCGAAGCGCGCGGCGCACTCTCACATGCACACAGCGAGTGATAAAAAATTTCATTAAAACGGCCCGCTGAAGTGTGAATAATTGATTTTGCCGGCGCCGGGACCGGGGCCGGGTCGCGAGACAAAAGAAACTTTGTTGCGCTGACGCGCAAAACTTTTATGCACTTTTTTTCCGTACTTGCTGTCGCCGTGAAACAAATTTCACGACATCAAATTGGACAATGAGCAATATAATTCCTGGCTGTTAATCGCGATGCGCGTTTCCTTGTTTCCACGTTTAACTAACGAGTGCAATATAATTAATCGCGTTTATTAAATGGCATGCTACGGCGCATTGCAGCGCATTTATTTGTGCGTATTTATTGCAGTTATGGATTACGCCGCAGTTTCCAATCGCTATAAATAAATGCGGGGGCGGCGGTGTGAACCGCTTTCGATGCGCAAATATTTGCATCGCCGTGACAATGGCATCAGCGGACAACGAATGTAAATATGCGACGTAAGCCGACGGGGGTGGCGGTTGAATTATAATAATGGCTGGCATAATAATATTGCATCATTTTCGTTAATGTGTGCGAATAAATCGCTGATTTATGCATGCGCGCAACTTAAAAATTTGTTTTAAGCTGATTTATCGCACACAAATATTATTATTCACTTGTATTTTATCGTGATAATTTCATCTTTTAATTTTTCACCAAGATGGAAGAAGAAATAACTGCGGGAGTAAAAAAAGCAATTAATATTCACGAGCACGAAGACTTTTTTCAAAGCGGGCTAGGAGATGTGCGCGTTTCTTAAATTTAGGAAAATTTAATTTCATAACCGAGCCCACAAAGCATACATATTCAAAATAATCTTTAATTCCCTGCAGCGACATCATGCTGCCTGGCTACAACGTAAAAATGTTCAACCCTCAGCCTCACAAACGAAATAAATTTGTTTGTTAATGTTTTGTTACTTGTTTTCCTCTGCGCCATGACATAAATGCTCTTTTCTCTTAAAAATAACATGTTTTTGATGTGTTTACGTTTATTCTTTAATATTCTGTCATGTACTTATTATAATATTCATATTTAGTAAAAATATTCCTAAGTTAAATTATTTCCTGCATTTTGCGAGAGGAAAATGGAAATTTATTTCCAGGATAATACACGTGCTGCTTTCTGATGGCGTGGCAGTGAACGAGAGTTTCGTTCTAGTGCGCATTACCTCCGATCTCGATTAATTATTAATTTATACATTGGTTCCGCATACCGCTACATTCCAGTTTCGGCACTAATTAAAATTTGCATTTTACATTTCTGCTCAACAATGAACAAATTAAATGGACATTTGTGCGGAATTGATTAAAAAGTTTCGGCGCCGATTGCACTTTTAAATTTCTCCATTTGTATTCATCGAGCGCACGCAATGGCGATGTGTAATTAAATAGCAATTAATATTTATTTAATTAAAGTATTTTTAAACGTTTATGTGTTCTACAAATTGTGCTCAACAATGCGATAATTGTGTAATATTTAGCGTTAAATTTATTTGTGTAAATTGATAATATGTAGCATTATATTTAGTTGAATCTTGACTATAAATTATACTTGTGATCATAAATACTATTAATATAAATTTCACAAATTCATAAATATTTTGGATTATTAATTAAAATTTAGGACACGGTTTTTGTTGAACTTCAAAAAGTACATCGTAGCGTCATCTTGGAATGATTAGTAAAGTATATAAAGCGTTCTTTAACAGTTTCTCTGCAGATACAATTTTTTATAATTGTAAGTTATTTTAATATTATACACACATATTTCTTTATTTATGCATTCATAGTAAGTTGAGATTTTAAATATTTGCCGCGTAAATTTGTTGTTGTAAATAGCGCCTCCTGGAAAGATATGCTGCGGCAATCGCCACGAGGTGCAGTCACACGCTGCACGCCGTTCGCGATACCAGGCATACGTAAATGTTGTTATTCCGCAACCATTGCTTGCATTTCCTAATAATAAACGAATATTGTGATTTGCTTATACGCGTAAATAATCTTAAGCTAACTGTTCCTGGTACTTTAATTTGAGTTTGTGAGGTATGTGTAAATAAATCGATATTTCATATCACCAAGCATGTTTCTTTTTCAACAAGACTTGATATCATCGTGTGAAGTGACTAAACTCATGTGCTCTTATTTTTGTTTCAGCACCTCTGTCTTAATTTGCGGGATACGAAATATAGGTAAGTTCATTATTCAATTATTTTTATTACTAAATTATACTCGTTAAACGTGAATTGTAGAATATTATTCCCGGTTTATGGTTTACATGCGTATCAGAATTTGTAGATAAACAACTTGTTTTATCGTGTTCTATCGTGTGTCGTTGCAGTGTTTCATTGCGCGCATTGAAATATGTGTTTAAATATTACAGTACGTTACTTAAATCATTTAAATTTTAAGTATTAAAACCTGTAAGCAAAAATCAAAAATGTGTTGTGGAAAATAGGCTTTAGATTGCTAACAGTTACAGATACGTGCCTGATTTTTTATACTTAGTTAGCGGATAAATTTATCTTTATAATCCCAGTTTGGGATATTCGAAAATCCTGTAAGCCGGTTTCAAAATCGTCTTAGTAATTGAATATTTTCCCTGTTTTTTATAAACATGAGGTGAAAAATCGGCTGTATCTGGTGAACAGTTAGAGATATTTTTATGATCTGTTGATATTTCGTTAGGAAAAGAGTTTCTGTTTATATTGCATTTTTGCTGCCCCCAAAAATCTTACGGGAAGTGCCTCTAAAACGTCTTTAAAGTTTGACATTTTTCACTTTTTTTTAAAACACGCGGTGGAAAATCGGCTGTATCTCGCGAACGGTTAGAGATATTTTTATGATCTGTTGATATTTCGTTAGGAAAAGAGTTTCTGTTTATATTGCATTTTTGCTGCCCCCAAAAATCTTACGGGAAGTGCCTCAAAAACGTCTTTAAAGTTTGACATTTTCCAATTTTTTTTTAAAACACGCGGTGGGAAATCGGCTGTATCTCGCGAACGGTTAGAGATATTTTTATGATCTCTTGATATTTCGTTAGGAAAAGAGTTTCTGTTTATATTGCACTTTTGCTGCCCCCAAAAATCTTACGGGAAGTGCCTCAAAAATGTCTTTAAAGTTTGACATTTTTCACTTTTACACGCGGTGGAAAATCGGCTGTATCTCGCGAACGGTTAGAGATATTTTTATGATCTCTTGATATTTCGTTAGGAAAATAGTTTCTGTTTTTATTGCATTTTTGCTGCCCCCAAAAATCTTACGGGAAGTGCCTCAAAAACGTCTTTAAAGTTTGACGGTGGAAAATCGGCTGTATCTCGCGAACGGTTAGAGATATTTTTATGATCTCTTGATATTTCGTTAGGAAAAGAGTTTCTGTTTATATTGCATTTTTGCTGCCCCCAAAAATCTTACGGGAAGTGCCTCAAAAATGTCTTCAAAGTTTGACATTTTTCACTTTTTTTAAAAACACGCGGTGGAAAATGGGCTGTATCTCGCGAACGGTTAGTGATATTTTTATGATATGTTGATATTTCGTTACGAAAAGAGTTTCTGTTTATGTTGCACTTTCGCTGACCCCAAAAATTTTACGGGAAGTATCTCAAAAACGTCTTTAAAGTTTTACATTTTTTCAATTTTTTTAAAACACGCGGTGGAAAATGGGCTGTGTCTCACGACCGGTTATAGTTATTTACCACAGAAGTGGTTCTTTATGTTTCAGTAATTATTTTGTATTTATTAACTTCAGGTAACTTTGGCTACGGTTCTGGTTTGTCGCATTTCCTGGATCGGAGAACAATTTATTCCACTTCTTTTATTATGGGAGGATTCTGTAGAAAATGGAAAATGCAGTTGTTACAGCACATGAAAAGAAGTATTTCTTGTTTCCATCTCTTAAGGTTGCCTATATTCAAATTGTAAGTACATGGATTTACTACTTTTTTAATATTTAATTTATGTCTTTTTTAACATTTGCTCTTTATTATGTCTTTTTTAGGTCAATGAATTTGGCATCGCTCAAAAAATATGAATCAATAACTGAAGATAAACATGTACAATTCTGTTTGGAAATATAGAGGAAAGCGGGGAAGAAGAACTTTGCTTTGCAGACAACTGAGGTCCAGTGGTATGCAAAGGCGCGCATGGTCGCTGGGGCATACTTTTACATTGTTGGTCGTGATCCTGCAGGTGTCCCACATCCACTTGGCAAAGAAGGATCGTCTTTTGCTGGTTGAAGAAGACTCCCGGATTATCGTCGGTTGAAATAATATCATTCCGTGTAGCTGCATATAACGCCAAGCTTTGTAAAATGGATTTCCTTGACTTCTAGCAGGAAGGATGATTTTGATTTTATTTCGGGCACTCGCATGCGAGGCTTGGCAAGATCCGGGATCAACTCACCACAAGGATTCATGTCACCGAAAACCTGGTAAATATTATCTACATGCCATCAGAACTTAAAAAATAATTGAAATATGTACATTTATAAATATCTATTATCTATCTAAATATGAACTGTTGTACGTTAGTTGCACTAATAGTAAACTGTATTTTTTTTTGTAATTTTATTTGCTTCCGAAAATGGTCTCCAGCTTGCAATTAATTAGCTGACGTTGGGAGCGCCGTAAAAATACTGTCTAGTGTGCGAGTTGTGATATCCAGGTATAGTTTAGATACACGAATATTTGTATATTTGTAAACAATTTTTTGTTGAGCCTATCGCAATAGCCACACCGCGTGACGTCGTGGTCGTTTCAGAGCGCGCATTCAGTTCCACTCCGGTTGCCGAGCGAAACATGCGTGTTCATCGCGACTAGTTTTATCTCTTCTTAATATAAATTGATCGTAAATCGATTTATATACAATAAAAGAACGACGACGTTTATTAGAATTGCGCGTGATCGGAATTTCGCCAGATAATAAGCACGAGTGAACTACTGTCGGTCGTCGGGAATATTTTTCGCGTGTGGATTATACTGCACTTGTGTTGGCCTGCATGTGCACGGCGTGCGTGTCCGTCGGCTATCGGTTATTGCCCAGAATAACTTGGATTTATGTTTAATGCGCATAAGTATACAACGGATGTGCCTGGAGAAGATACGCTTACAAGGACCCTGGAGTTCCAAATATTCATCGCAGAAGAGTTGCAAATGTGCGCATATTTTAAGGCAAGTTTTCCGCCGCATTTAATAGTTGCCGATATTTTTCTCTTTAAAAAATGTTTGTATTTTTAAATGTTGTCAATAAAATAAAATTAATATCAAATAATATCTCTTTCATATTTGCTTTTGGTATCCTCCTTGCCGTTTTCAGTATATGAGCGTTTCACACATTCAGTATAGATATTATACGAGTGGAGTGAGTGCAACATGTCTGAGACTTGTGTTGTTGTTTTTAAAAAGTTGAATAAAGTAGAAGCATAAATACAAGAATCAAATATAAATGATAAAAACACTCGGTGGTCGAGTGGGTACGTGCACCTGCTGGCATGCTAGTAGGCACGGATCGAATCACAGGTATAGAAGGCATTTTTCTCAAATATAAAAATAACAGGTGAAATTTGGGTTGCATATATGAATTGCAACGAAATATAAGAGAAATTGAAATACAATTGAAGGCAATAAGAGAGAAGAAAGAAAGTAAAAGGAGAACAGAGAAAAGAAATAGAAGAATGAGAGTAGTAGAGAATTGGAGAAGATAGAAGAAGAGAACAGAGAGTAGAGTAGAGAAGAGGAGGAGATAGAAGAAAGAGCAACAGGAGTGGATCAGATTTTTAAATTTTTTGGCACGTGTCGTTATAAGACAGTCACAGGTCGATCTCCCAGAGCGCCTCCGGCGCTCTGGTCGATCGCCCACTGCTTCGATGCGTCCATTGCTCCCGGCCCATCCTACAGCTACGATGCCTCTGCGCTTCATCCCCGGAATTATCAGGCATATCAACAATTTTTATGGAGGGGGATCATCCCCAGAGAGAGGGAACTCCTTATATGGACATCCTTTTAAGGACTTGTAAAAATATTTCTAATTTTTAAGTCGCCTCAAGGGAGGGGACTCATAAAAATATTCTTACAAGTTCTCACCTGTAGCTGAAATGAAAGATGGAGTACACAAGTCATACAGGATACCTTAACAATTTTTATAGTGGGGATCATCCCCTGAGAGAGGAGACCTGTACCTGAAACGATAGAACGGGTACATTGAAAGCATAAGACATAATATTTCTTAACATTTCTTTATTAATAAATACAATGTAAAATAATACAAGTCAACAGAATTCATGCCGCCATATTGAAATTGGAATTACGACCTGCTTAGCCGCGCAAACAATCGCGTATCACTAAGTGAAGTTCTAGCAGGATAAAGCAATTAGCAAAGTCAATTTTCATCGTGATTGAAAATGGAAACAAATATACCGGGGGGTTACAGAAAATTAAGTACAGACAGGAAAACATCTAAACATTCAAATATCGCTAGTTTTCCACGGTTACCCTGGGAAACAAATATACAGGGCGTTACAAAAAGAAAATTCAAAGTGCAAGAAGTTAAATTCTAATAACACTCAAAGCAAAATTTTCAGGGATGTGAAGGAAAACGATTATACAAGGTGTCACAAATAGAAAATTCAACCATCAAAGAGGAAAACATCTAAACACTACAAATATTGCTTGTTTTCACCCGATGCTCCGGGAAATTAATAAACAGGGTGTTACAAAAAAACTTAAAGTTTTCACGGACACAAAGAAAAGCAAATATACAGGGTGTACCAAAAGGAAAATTCTAAGTTTAAAACAAAGAACACTCAAAACTCAGAAATAAAGACGATTTACTAAAGTACTGTTAGGAAAACAAATATTCAGGGTGTTACAAAAGGAAGGTTTTAAAAACTACAAATATGATCTACATTCACATCGTGACAAGAGAAATTTATACCGAAACAACTATATTTTAACACAAATTCAAAGATTTTACGATTTTAAAGATTTTTTATTTCAAAGATTTTTTAGGTAAATACGATAAAAATAACGAAAAACTATTCTTCGTATAAGATTTTATTAGATCAACATGAAACTTTTTAATTTAATGATGATAAGGAGTGAAATTCGATTAAAAACGTTCAGCGAAAAGAGGAACGAGCCGACGGTCGACGGCAAAGTGAGCGTGGTCGGCCACATGAATATTGTCATTTTAATAATCCTCAGATATTTTTTAACCCAGTGTTTGTAATAATAATTATTTTCGGAAACAGGACTAAGAATTCTGACAAAAATGTTACCATGTGTTTGTAATCTGCAAAATTAATATCCCTCAAATGGAATAATCAATTTAAGTTAAACCGTCTTAACTTTCCGCGAAAAAAAGTGATTAAACACCTACCAGTGCATTGATAAAGAAATTTTAGATCCAGGCATATATCTTATCAACTGAAAACTCGCGCAGAGATTATCGGACACTTATTTCTCACTTAAGAACACTCTAACCGCCATAACAAACAAACAAACAAAACAAGCACACATGCTCGTTACGAATATTTTGCTGATAACGAAAAGAATGCACGACGATTAATTGAATAATTGAAGTCTGAAAACGCGTGGCGGTTAGAGACACGCGTTCGCGGACCACGCGGTGAAACTACTGCCGTGTGCGGTGTGCGAAACCAGGTACAAGGCAGGTACGTAGCGATAAGCGATAGCGTACGTAGCGTCAGTTGAACAAAAAAAGTTGTTTATACACAAACGTAGTGGTAAACACATAGTCGAGAAGACGAAAGTAAAAATTCACAATATTGAAATAACACACATACACGAAATCTACTTTTACTTTCAATATTTCTAGGCATAAGAATAGAATATATTGGTTTTGAGATGCAATAAGGATGAAGATAAACAGGAATTTGTAATTTACCAATACAAATAAATAATTTATTGTTTTCAATTGTCTTCGTATAAGTTTACTGTATACCTTAGTTAATTCAATAATTGATGTTTACAACACCGCGACTAATTTAAATATTCCTTATAAAATAAAATATTAAAATAGGCAAAATAAGTATAACTTCGTACGGTGCCCTGAACACGAGTCACTTCTACTGCTACCTTCGTACGGTACCCTGAACACGAGTCACTTCTACCGCTACCTTCGTACGGTGCCCTGAACACGAGTCACTTCTACCGCTACCTTCGTAAGGTGCGCTAAACACGAGTCACAAATACGCATCTGGGAAAATTATTCAGAATTTAATTCTGCATCTGGGAAAATTATTCCGAACTAACTGTAGCACCGCGTTCGCGTGTTACTCTAAAAAAACTATAATTACGAGAGCAACGAGTACCTACTACGGCGCACACACACAACTTTCAATATAACTCGCGTTACGGAATTTTCTTGCAATAAATTTCAATACAGGGAAATACAGACATGGCCGTCGAGAACCAGCGCGGGCCCCAGGGAAAAGCCGCGGGCTCCGGCAATCGTCAATTTTTGCTATTTTTTTGTGATTGCGATTTAAGAGCGATCAGCCGGGCCCCGGGGAATTTATCCCAGTCTCATCGGCCCTGCAGGTAGGTAGTTCGTTGTTTATAAACAGCAAATGTAAATTGGACCAAAAAATATAATTGAATTATGAACTTACCAGTGTACAGATTATCGGACTGCCAGGCACAACGAGTGCTGTAACCAAACGAAAACATAAATTAAAACAAAAATATTTCATACAATTGAATTATGTTATAATTAACGATCAACACAAAATAAACAAATAAACAGCACAAAGTTTAGTTAAATAATACTAACACGAGCCTGATGGATCTATCTTAATGATGAGAATCAACATGGGGGCGATATATATTCGATTAATTTAGTAACCGACACCAAACTCAACGCCGAGTGAAGAATGTTTTCACATCCACTATCACGTGACTTGTAATATTCATAACAAACGCGATAAAAAAAACCGGCATATCCCAACATTAAACAAATTACTATAGTCGCAATGTACAAATAAATAGTCGATTGATCTTCAAGTATAACACAAATTTAGAATATTGAAGTCCGAATAAACGATATAAGTCTCTCAAAACGCGACTGGATTAACCAGCGACCGGCACGAAACTGGCTGCAATACACCGATAGTGCATGCCGAAACTGCGTAAACAACAACGGGACAGTATATGATAAGAAAGCAAGAGGTGCGCAAAGACGGCGCGTCGAAAGCACGCGACCTTGTACGCAAATTTGCAATAGGCATATTACCTGTAGTCTAGACTAAACTAGACTTCGCTGCATGGAGCAAGTTGATGCGGCCCTAGGAGACAGCGCGCGGGACGTATGGCAGCGTCTTAATCTACGGACTATTCTCTATAAGATAGAATAGTTAAGACGGAAATCTGAGAGATGAGATTTAAATTCTTAAGAAAAAATTGTCAATCAGCACCCCCCCCCCTTGATAATTTTTATCGACGATTTTCGATAATTAATATCTCTTAAACTAAAAGAGATAGCAACCAACAAATTGCTGATTATGAATAGGATAGTTAAAAGGGAAATATGATTGGAAAATTCTCTATCAGATAAAAATCTCTTAAACTAAAAGAGATAGCAACCAACAAATTGCTGATTATGAAAGATTGGAATTCCTATAGTAAAAGGTCCAAAAACGCGACTAAAAGTGCTAAAAAGTGACATTTATCAATTTTTCCCCATTTTATTCAATCGCGAATATCTCGTAAACTAAAAGAGATAAATAAGATCTGATCGCAGCGTCTTAATCTACGGACTATTTTCTATCAGATAGGATAGTTAAAAGGGAAATATGAGAGACAAAATTTTAAGTCTTAAGAAAAAAATTGCCAAGGGGGGGTGCTTGATACTTTTTTTCGACGATTTTTGATAATTAATATCTCTTAAACTAAAAGAGATAGCAACCCACGAATTGTTGATTATGAAAGATTGGAAAATTGTCTATCAGATAAAAATATAAAATAATTATATTTCCTACAGTAAAAGGTCGAAAAACGCGACTAAAAGTGCTAAAAAGTGACATTTATCAATTTTTGCCCATTTTATTCAATCGCGAATATCTCGTAAACTAAAAGAGATAAATAAGATCTGATCGCAGCGTCTTAATCTACGGACTATTTTCTATCAGATAGGATAGTTAAAAGTGAAATATGAGAGACAAAATTTTAAGTCTTAAGAAAAAAATTGCCAAGGGGGGGTGCTTGATACTTTTTTTCGACGATTTTTGATAATTAATATCTCTTAAACTAAAAGAGATAGCAACCCACGAATTGTTGATTATGAAAGATTGGAAAATTGTCTATCAGATAAAAATATAAAATAATTATATTTCCTACAGTAAAAGGTCGAAAAACGCGACTAAAAGTGCTAAAAAGTGACATTTTTCAATTTTTGCCCATTTTATTCAATCGCGAATATCTCGTAAACTAAAAGAGATAAATAAGATCTGATCGCAGCGTCTTAATCTACGGACTATTTTCTATCAGATAGGATAGTTAAAAGGGAAATATGAGAGACAAAATTTTAAGTCTTAAGAAAAAAATTGCCAAGGGGGGGTGCTTGATACTTTTTTTCGACGATTTTTGATAATTAATATCTCTTAAACTAAACGAGATAGCAACCCACGAATTGTTGATTATGAAAGATTGGAAAATTGTCTATCAGATAAAAATATAAAATAATTATATTTCCTACAGTAAAAGGTCGAAAAACGCGACTAAAAGTGCTAAAAAGTGACATTTTTAAATTTTTGCCCATTTTATTCAATCGCGAATATCTCGTAAACTAAAAGAGATAAATAAGATCTGATCGCAGCGTCTTAATCTACGGACTATTTTCTATCAGATAGGATAGTTAAAAGGGAAATATGAGAGACAAAATTTTAAGTCTTAAGAAAAAAATTGCCAAGGGGGGGTGCTTGATACTTTTTTTCGACGATTTTTGATAATTAATATCTCTTAAACTAAACGAGATAGCAACCCACGAATTGTTGATTATGAAAGATTGGAAAATTGTCTATCAGATAAAAATATAAAATAATTATATTTCCTACAGTGAAAGGTCGAAAAATGCGACTAAAAGTGCTAAAAAGTGACATTTATCAATTTTTCCCCATTTTATTCAGTCCCGAATATCTCGTAAATTAAAAGAGATAAATAAGATCTGATCGCAGCGTCTTAATCTACGGACTATTTTCTATCAGATAGGATAGTTAAAAGGAAAATATGAGAGACAAAATTTTAAGTCTTAAGAAAAAAATTGCCAAGGAGGGGGTGCTTGATACTTTTTTTCGACGATTTTTGATAATTAATATCTCTTAAACTTAATGATCGACGCAGAAAATAAAACGAAATATATAATTGAATATAAACTTACCTATGCAGAACTCATCAGACTTCATGGCACGGCAAATACTGTAAATAAAAAAAGAAAAGTAAGTAAGTAAGAAAGTAAGTAATATTGTATTCACACAGCGGAGAAAAACAAACAATCTGTGCTGTTTAGTTAAAAGTCATCTACACCAGCAGGATGGGTCATCCTCATGATGAATATCAAATCAACATGGTCGCGATTCACTTACGCGCAACTGGCACGAAACTGGCCGCTAACTGTATAAGCAACGACGAGGCAGTTTATGATAAGAAAGCAAGAGATGCGCAAGGCCGGCGCGTCGACGGCACGCGACCATGTGTGCGAATTTCATTTGGCACTTTACCTGGGATCAAAACTAAACTAAGATGCAGCAACATGCGGCGTGAGGTGCTGGCAACGACGACACACGGCAATGCGATAAGAAAGTGTATATTGTGTTCAAACAAACACAATTCTTGTGTCGAAGGGGTTCACGCTTGCTAATAAATATAGAAATAAACAATACAAGTTTATTTTACAATTTTTAGTCCATGCCATTGCCATCTATATATGATTCAGTAGTTTCGAAATTTAGATTAGTAAAGGTAATAAAAAGTTAAAATTCGATTTGAGTAATTCTGATTTCTTATGCTGACAGATTGCCCGATTTTACATTAAATATTTAAGTGATATTTAATTTGAACATGCATCGTTTCTCGTTTACCAGGTAACACAATAGTCCGTAATCATCTGCTGATAATAAAAACGTATTAGAATTAATATAAAATTATGAGTTATATTCATGAAAGAATTGAAGAATATTTGCTTAAATTTACGATGCTAATATAATAAACAGCATCGGTGTGTTTTGATTCCACGAAATAAAGATTCGATATGTTTCCACAAAAAAAGAAAGAGAAATAAAAATACAAATTACAATCCAATCCACCCTCTAAATTTTGCATCTGGAAAAATTAATCCGAACATATTGTAATACCTCTTTCGCGTGCTATACTAAAAAAACTACAGTTCCTAGCGCAACGAGTACTATTGCGTATACACACAACTTTCAATATAACTCGCGTTACGGAATTTTCTTGCAATACGTTTCATTACAGGGAGATATAGAATTAAATTCTGCATCTGGGAAAATTATTCCGAACTTATTATGACACCGCGTTCGCGTGTTATATTAAAAAAACTACAATTCCTAGCGTAACGAGTACTATTGCGTATACACACAACTTTCAATATAACTCGCGTTACGGAATTTTCTTGCAATACGTTTTATTACAGGGAGATATAGAATTAAATTCAGCATCTGGGAAAATTATTCCGAACTTATTATGACAACGCGTTCGCGGGTTATATTAAAAAAACTACAATTCGTAGCGCAACGAGTACTAGTGCGTATACACACAACTTTCAATATAACTCGCGTTACGGAATTTTCTTGCAATAAATTTCCATACAGGGAGATATAGAATTAAATTCTGCATCTGGGAAAATTATTCCGAACGTATTGTGACACCGCGTTCGCGTGTTATATCAAAAAAACTACAATTCCTAGCGCAACGAGTACTAGTGCGAATACACACAACTTTCAATATAACTCGCGTTACGGAATTTTCTTGCAATAAATTTCCATACAGGGAGATATAGAATTAAATTCTGCATCTGGGAAAATTATTCCTAACTTATTGTGACACCGCGTTCGCGTGTTATATCAAAAAAACTACAATTCCTAGCGCAACGAGTACTAGTGCGTATACACACAACTTTCAATATAACTCGCGTTACGGAATTTTCTTGCAATAAATTTCATTACAGGGAGATATAGAATTAAATTCTGCATCTGGGAAAATTATTCCGAACTTATTATGACACCGCGTTCGCGTGTTATATCAAAAACTACAATTCCTAGCGCAACGAGTACTAGTGCGTATACACACAACTTTCAATATAACTCGCGTTACGGAATTTTCTTGCAATAAATTTCCATACAGGGAGATATATAATTAAATTCTGCATCTGGGAAAATTATTCCTAACTTATTGTGACACCGCGTTCGCGTGTTATATCAAAAAAACTACAATTCCTAGCGCAACGAGTACTAGTGCGTATACACACAACTTTCAATATAACTCGCGTTACGGAATTTTCTTGGAATAAATTTCAATACAGGGAAATACTAAATTAAATTCTGCATTTCCAGGCATCGCGCTCAAATTTGTGTGAGGCCTCGTTCGCCCACAATACCTAAAAAACCGGAATAAATTAACGCGAAAGGCCAAATACCAGTTAAATAATATTTAGAATTAACTTGCGTTCCCGGTGTTTGTCAACAATGTAGAAAGAGTGTTGTATTAAATAATGGAAACCGATTAATAGAAGTGCATATTTTCAAGCGCGCAAATATCGTTTTTAATCTCAAACGTATACATATTTCAATGTTTGCTAGAAAAGCTGCAACGGCCCACGGCAAAATCAAGAGAACGCGATAAAAATAGTTGTTTATGCACAGAAACTGATAAGCAGGTAGACAAGTCAACAAGAACGAGAACAATTCAAGTATACTCGTTCTGCACCTACCAATATTTTATTAACAAGAATAATTTTATTAACTTACCGGCGCAGTACATATCAAAGCGGAAAGCTGGAACAAAATAGAACATTAGAGTGAAATATTTTCACTACGATAACGAGTCTTGTCCACAAACAAGCATGCTTGATGTTATGAGAAAACAATGAAATTTGCCTCGTGGTGCTTACCTCTGATCTGATATCCAAAGACTCCGAAATATTACACTCGGGATTAACACTTAACAGAACACAACACCCGTATATCACTAGTAAACGCAAACACTTGTTTCCGAATTAAAATGACAACGTGCAAGAGATGCATACGTACGCGGGGCAACATCCGATACCGACAACAACCCGACTATACTAAAGTCACGCGCGCCAGCAGCGTGCGCGACGTTGCGCAGGCTGCTAAGCAGGTATGTGCGCGCACCCTAGCAAATATCAAGGATACGAACCAGAGATAAGAATTGGCATTGAACACAAACATCGATTTTGTGTTGACGCAAATACGTTGTTCGATGTCGCCAGTCACGCCATATCAACTTATATTTATAAAATAACTAATCCCGCAATTGTACCCACTTGAACTGATTAATTTTTAAACCATGATAATTACATTTAATTGCATGTTTTATTCAATTATAACAAAATATAATAGAAAATCCACCTCATCTTAACAAAACCGTGCTGAAAATCACACATTTAAAATAGAACGATTTAAAATGCTTGTAATGTCGCCTAAATGTCCAGTAACAACAAACGACGTTATATAAAACCGTAACCATCTACTGACCAGTCACCAATCTTAATTGTAGATATTTCGTTATAGTGCAAATATCATTTACAACTTAGAACGCAATTCGGCGATTTTCGACGCAGCCGTGCGTTGCAACTCTGTTAGTTTCATCGCTAAGCCCATATTGCCTTGGATTTTTACCTTACCCTGGAAAAATGCCTTCTGGGGGTTAATTTCACCCGTGAGTAATTCTACGACATCTTCGTCTTTAATGATGAAAGTAACTTGTGGTTTAGCTAAAAACAAACCATGCATTCATATACTTTATTAACAATAAATTTGTCTACTTACTGGTTCCGTTAAATTCAATTTTGCCTTTCCCGGTGCTGGCATCAATCACCCAGAAACCTTCATCACCATTGGATTTCTTCACGTGGAAACCATAAACCCCACGATGTTTCTCAATCAGATTATCTTTGTCCTCATTCATCGCCTCTTGCATGATTCGCAAGTACTTTGTCACTTGGAAATCGTCCTCGTTTGTAGACGCGGCAACATTTCTGATATTTTTCGCCTTTTCGGGGAAACCATGTTTGTAAACAGCAACGACCACAGCTCCTCCAAGACCAATATTGTGTTGCAGCGCAATTCTGGCTCCTTTAACTTGTCTGGCACCTGCTTCACCTCGGAGTTGCCAGCAGAGCTCGGAACACTGCGCGAGTCCGGTAGCTCCGAGAGGATGTCCCTTGGAAATCAAACCACCGCTGGGATTTACAACGTATTTACCACCATAGGTATTGTCACCACGGTCAATCAACTGAATGGCTTCGCCTGGTCCACACAGACCCAAAGCTTCGTAGGTGATGAGTTCATTGGCAGAGAAGCAGTCGTGTAGTTCGACTACGTGAACATCAGTGGGGTTGACGTTGGCTTTACGGAATGCACGTTCTGCAGCCAAACGAGTCATGTCCACTCCAACCACTTTCATTAAGCTATTGCCATTGAAAGATGAAGGCAAATCAGTTGCCATTTCCATCGATAGAATCTCAATCGCCTGGGATTCCAAACCATGCCTCCGGACAAATGCTTCGGAAGCAACAATTGCTGCAGCTGCACCATCGCTAGTTGGACAACACTGCAACTTTGTAAGAACTCCATGAACTTTAGGAGAAGCCATGATCTGCTCCAAGGAATATTCATCCCTGAACTGAGAGTACGGATTGTTAACGGAATGTTTATGGTTTTTGTAGGCGATTTTAGCGAAATGCTCAGGTTTAGCGCCGTATTTTTTCATGTATTCCATGCCAGCATTACCAAACATCTGGGCAGCAAATGGTGCGGCTGTGATTTCCGTTAATTCACCCATGTAACCAACATGCTTATCCAATGGATTTGTTCTGTCCATAAACTGCACAAAAATAAAAGTAAAATAAAGTAAAATGAACAAAATTGAAGTAATCAAGTGTGAATACAAAGTGAAAGTTTTACCTTTGATGACAAACTACCACGTTCCATTTTCTCAAAGCCAACAGCAAGAACGCAATCATTACCACCCATCTGTACATAATCTTTGGCTAAATACAATGCACTTGCTCCAGTGGAACAATTATTGTTGACATTGATAATTGGAATACCAGTCATCCCAACTTCATAAACACATCTCTGACCTGATGTAGAGTCACCTAAATAAAAATTGATTTATTAAGCATCATTAACTGATGATAATGATTCAGCAAAAACTTACCATACACATATCCACACACAGCTTTCTCCACTGCAGACATAGCAATGCCAGCATCTTTGAGTGCCTTCACAATTGCTTCCTTTGCAAAGTCAGGATAGTCTGCATCAGCTCGAGCACCAGGTTTCTCAAACTAAACATAACCAAATTATGCTTTACAACTACTTAAAACAAAAACTAATATGATTATAGCGACATAATCGTAAATTTAACGCAATAAACATACACATAAACAAAAATAACAATATATTTTTTTATTACCTTGGTCATACCAACACCAATCACAAATACACGACCCATTTTCGTTGTTCTTGCTGTCTTTTTTTCTATGTAGAAGAATACACCAGAGATAAGTGTTTACACGTCGCCGAATGGAATAATAATAGAACTGCCACTGGAATATACGATAATTATGCGTCCAGTGTCTACGCTTTATCACTTTAGACTTTGATCGATTCGCCCGCACTCCAACGAGTTTCAAGTCATCGAGTATCGGCTGTTTTGCCCACCACAAGTTTACTGTTCACTGGAGAGCAGAGTTCATTTGCGTTTACTTGGCGAAAGTGTGATGTGGAAATGGCAAAACGCGGTAGCATGTTGAATTTAAACTGAATAAGGTGAAACTTTCGCAATTATTAAATAAGAAGTAAATGCTTAAAATTTTACTTACTTTATTGGGATTTTGATTTCCGTTCTGCTTCCCAACGTTGCTAGATAGCGCTACGTGTATCGTTCACATTTCGTTCTTGATATACATGTGGTTGCAAAATGTATTAGCTGCGATTGTATTGCTTAAGCACTATGAAGCAGGCTCGCTGGGCGCTGTTCTTATATAGCTTCGCACTACCCGGAAAAATTGGTGGGGAATTTAAATGTGACTCGTGGCGCTTTCTGGCGTAAGTTTCAAATATTTATGAAAACTACATGAAAATTGTGAACATTGCGTGTTACGTTTTAAAGAAATTCTTGGGAATTATATGGATTTATTTAATAAAAACTAACAAATGTTGTTTTACATAAATATGTAATGTACAAACGAAATATTAGGATATATACAAATAACATGATTCAAAAAGATCGCAATTATCGGTTCTTCTAGAACGGTGTTGAAGCTATGTTGCTGCATATTTCGCTAATCTACCGTCTATTATCCAAAACAGCTTACTTAACATCGATTTACTTTAGTACACAGCAAATCTACATACATCACCCCTGCTGGTTGTTGGTTAGTAATCAATTGTAATAAAACCAAAAAAACAAAATGAATTTGCTAGTAGCAAGCTTAATTATAGACAAATCTTGCACTAAAAGATATGTTAAGCAGCGCTTATTGTTATCGTTGGGTTGTATGCATTTCTGTCTTTTGCTTATTGACTCACAATCAGTATACATTATTCATCCAAACACATGTAACAACAAACTTCTCTATTGAGGTGTTTTTATCAATTTATCATCTGTACAAGAGTAGCCATATCGCAATGAAAGAGTTTTTCTTTATGTAAGAGCGTAGCTGCCATCAGCAGCTTCCAAAGTGGGTAACATGTAACAATTTCAAAAATGGAGACTAATGTATTCATTGATGTCTTCAATGTGTTTCATTAAGATTCCCTCCATACATGACTAGAATTAAATATTCAACAATTTCATAATAATAATTTCATTCTTGTTGAATTTCCATCGCATGTGGTTGTCATATTAGTTTAGTTTTTATTTTAATTAGTTTGTTGTATTTCTTCACCGAATTAATTTACGTATATCACAGATAGATGACTAGCAAGAATTAAGGTCCTTCACTAATTAATTAATAACGACTAGCTTTCGTCCGACAGATGTTTCCAACTCGTACTTATCTGTCAATATAGGCTCTGGAGTGAGTGATATCCTTCAAAACATGCCAAACCGAAACTATCCTGCTGAACACGGTTTTACAGCTAATAGGATGTGTGTATAAAATGGACATTATGTGTAAATTCATTCAGAATTGATTTCAGTACCACACACACTCACTTCAAGGTAATAAGGTGCACATTGTTTTTGTTTTTATCTAATTGTATGCGTATGCTTATGCTTAGAATGTGCGTGAAAGTATCCTTCTCTTTTATAATACTGTTCTGTGGTGAGTTTTGTGTGAATCAAAATGGCCGCAGGTAAATAATCAGCCATTTTGTTATGTAATATGTACCTAGTGACTAGTGGGCAGCAGCTCGTTGTAGTGTGTCGTTGAATGTCGGACTGTCAGCGTTCAGCTACGTGTGAGCAGTAACAAAATGGCGGTGTACAAGAAATTCGCGGTTGTTTTTGAGCTGGACGCCGGTGTAGGCGCTATAAAACGTGTGTTTTCCCTGGTGCGGTACGCTTGAGACTTCCACTTGATGTTGAACGATGGCAGAGTTCTGCTTAATGTCCTCAATCTAGAAATAACATAAAATATACGATTTTATCACGGATATAAAAAACAATTTTTACCGAACTATCACGGTGGAGACTTTCCACGGTAACAGGAACACCTTGTGTGTTTCACGCGAACAGAAGGTGTGCAGCACTTCGCCAAGGTGTTTACTGTTGGCATTAGCGGCATATTCGTGAATGCTGATGTTCCACGCAGTGCAGGGACCTACAGAGAACATCGTAAACCACGCGCAAATCTCTCACGGCTGTTAAACTTACGATTCTGTTTCGAGCTGATGTCGAGCTCGAGCTGTCGCTCCACATTCGAGTGCAGCGTCCACGAACATCCCTGCTCGTAAAAATGATTCAGATTCTCGGCGGGAGTGAGATTCTTCAACGCTATTTCACCTATCAGGATCATATCACTTTGTAAGCACCTTGTCATTAAATGAATACTATTCACAGAATACTAACCCGTGTGGAGAGTGTAAACTTGTTCCCCACATATGGTGTCAGAATTGAAAGAGTAGGAAGCAGTCATTCCGAAACCCTTCTTCTTCCAGGTGTAATGAGCAACCGAATAGACAAGTGTAAGTGGTCCCCAGGACCTCACACTTACAGGCAACCATTCATATTGATAACCACAAAGGCAGGCCACTTTAACATCCTCCTCATCGACGATAATTACATGATCAATTTTGTTCATGGGACTTCCGGTCACACATCGGCAGCCATTATCCCCGCATTGTGTGAAACACAGCGGTTCCTTAGACATCAACTCCAAAGCAGTTACTTTCAAAGTAATACTTTGATTAGCTGATGGTATGTACTTCTGGGTACAGAGTAATGGACCCTCCATGTTCCAGTAGAGATGCTGTGTGCTAGGGTTTTCAATTTGTCCCGCCAGGGGACTGGTGTGACCCCTATAGATAACATCACACATCCCAGTTGGTTGCACCGTCCCACTGACTTGTTCTGCAACATGAATTTGCATTTCCTCTTTGACCTGTTAATTGAAATTGTTTCACTTACCATCGTGGAAATAAAACCTCCCTGCTAAAAATTCTGCATCGTTGGTGGTGACTGGTGCGGTGGGTCGCATGAAAAACAACACCATCTCATTCTTTGACGAGAGCAGTTTCTTCGTCTCTAAGTCATCCGGATCCCGCGCTTGTTTAATTTGGGGACTGCATAATTTCTCCAGCAAATTCTTTCGTATTTCCAGCGAGCCATCAAAGACCTCCACTTGAGTCTTGCACGATGGAGCCCTAAATGAAACATTTGTATTCGTTCTTTTTTCCGCTTTCAAGTGAAATTACCTCAAGCGAAAGTTGAAGAATGAAATGTGTACGACATCTGTAGGCCGTCCCTGGAAGGTGATGCGACAGATTGGGAACCAATCGTATTCGCGCGTATCGAAATGACCATTGCGCGTATTATTACCGGATATTAATATGTCACATCCGGTGAAGTTCGCGCCAGGTGGTCCCGTTTCGTTGGCTACAAATCCAGACACATCAAATTATTCACACCGAAGTAATAAAACCGGTCGAGGAGAACATTTAGAGTTTATAGTTAACAGTTTCGGAAGCGGAAAAATAGTCGCCATTTCTCTTCGTCGTGGGATACAGTGCGATAGTGTAATAAAAATTCAGAGCACGCGACGCACTCACCTAAGATGTTTGATGGAGATATCCGTTCGTGAGTTACGAGCGGCGGTGGCGGCGCCGGTGGCAGCGTCGCGGCCGGCTCTGTGGTTGTTTTCTTCTCCGCCAGGAATGCTAATTGAGCGACGAAGCCGTTGTACTCGAACGGCGGCGTTTGCGGGCCCGTGCTGCCAAACAAACGAAATCGGAATTACCGATCACTTATCGAACTCGTGGAACAACTTACCGAAATTCTATTAAAAGATTAGACCCGGTGAACTCGATTTTCTTGCGCCCGTTGCCGCAGAGCGTCTCGAGCTGCGGCGAGGACGTGGTGGTACCCTTGTACACTGCGATGTAATCAGTGGAGCATCGGCTGCATTCACAAGCAGACTCGATTTTAGCACAAATTAGGACGAAACAAAGCAAAAGCAAAGTGCTAAAAGTTACCACGCTGGAAACTCTTGGAAACGATTTCGGAATTTGTATTTTTCTGACATGCTGGCAAAAACTACCCTTATCACTATCAGTTCAGCTGTTGCAAAGAAAGAAACGTAAAACCAAAACAAATTTCAACGATTACACAAAAAGGAAAAAACGAACAAAATAAAGCGCATGTTTCTTTTCGGGGAGAAAGAAATGTGATGTGGAGTGAAAACGCGCCGGGCACTGACAGGTCTTCACGCGCAAGGGTCGACTTAGGGGATGGGGTGCGGGCGGTTTGCGCCTCATGTGAAAGGAGCGCGCGTGAAAGCGGGCGCGAAATGAAGACAACTTACTCGCGCGGCAGCAGCATGGCGGTGAACGTGATCCGCACGAGCGTGCTGTCGCTTCCGGTCGTTATGTGGTATTTGCATTGCCGGTGCGGCGGGTAGACGCCGGGATAGCCGGGACTAGCCAACACACAGTGACCTGCTTTCTCGCATGCAAAGTCCTGATACAACCAGTCGCAATCTGCACAGAAACGCAGCAAGCAGAAATTCAATGAATGAATTTAAATTCGGGAGCTATTTAGAGAAATGCCCCGCTTACCTGTGTTCTGCAGTCGCATCCCGCCGCGTTGCGGGAAGCCAAGACCATCAGTGCTGTTCAGCGAAGAGAAACTAAAGTACGCCAGAAATTGCGAGCGGCGAGTCTTCTCCGTTACCCTGGAAATGAATGCGGGAAAAATGATGGAAATGGAAAAATTCATTATGTCTCAAGAAGATATTTGATGGCTTTCTAATAATAACCTTGTACCATGTCAAAAATTCATCCAAAGCAATCTCGAGTTGGCATCGCGCGTCCGACATGCAAATTCGGTCTTTTGACTCGCTTCACGCAACCGCTTCAAGAATGACATTCAAATTTAAAACAATTTTGGAACTTGATTCGGAAGTTCGCCCCTCGTATTGATTCGCCGACGTACAAATAGATTCCGCCGAGTTATGGCTGTTTGCGACGGAATTTACGATGTAGAGTGCAAACAAAACGCCAACTTTTCACAGACATTCATCGCCAACTTTCCGAAAGTGATGCATCTCTTAAATAAACACTCTCAAACGCACTCGCCGTGACAGACGGAGCGTTATCCGATGAAAGCGTTATCGATAATATTGAGCACGATATTCGACAAGTTAATTAAAAAATATTCAGTTTCATATTTCAATTCGGCGAGTGAAAAAAACCGCGCGCGTTCAATGTTTGCGAAATGGGACCATTTATTTTATGGCTGGCAACAGAGTAATTTCTCAACTATTTTGGCCATGATATGGATACGACATTCGGACTTAGCGCAAAGCCGCCGTCGTAGACGGAGTACCTTTTTAGTGATAAATCATGTAAACGAAATTCACGCGCGAATAGAAATTCGTGACTTGCGAGAATGCTGTGCAGAGCACAAGAGCTGAATTTACTATCCAATTTGTTGGCCTTTCACAGTGCCTCAATTTTACGCGTTTGTGTACATTTGGTTGCCTAACGACACCGATCTACATACCACCTAACCTTGTTTTACGACTATCTTACGGCGACACTTTGTGGCAATCTCGCTGACATTATTCATTATCTGGATGGGAGTAAAAGCTAAAGACAAAACTAACGCTTCTAATTAACGAAAACTATCCGGAGGGTGTAAACAACTGCGGGCATGAAAGTTTATTTGCTAACGCGCGAGAATCACTGTCGGCACTCGGCCAACAAACGAAACTTTGCACGTCCGCACCATTCAAATGTGTCCGACGCGCAATTCGTTATCGTTAATTAGCGATATTTACATTCAGGCATTGGTAATTAATCACCACTTGGTATTGCTCGTGCAATTTGTCGAATTGCAAGGCAACACAACGAAAAGAAGAATAAAATAAAGTCGAATTTAATGCAAATCGCCAGCAAGAACCAAAAACAGAGAATGAACTATTTGCGAAAGCGTATTTTTCATCCGCGCGTTGTTTATGTTAAAATCTCGACGACGTCGAGGAATTTTCCGCGCGCAGTTCGCAGGGACGAGATAATCTTGCATAAATCTCGAAGCACGCAGGGGCAAAAACGTTTATGTATATCCTAGAAAAGTAGCAATCTTCTTCATTCCTGATTTACATACATTTTGCCCCATTCGCAAACAAAACAAAATGTCTGCCAGTTAACTGACAACCCAATAAACTGCATTTTAGCAGAATGTTCAGTGAGCGTAGCTGTCGTAATTTGATTAATTGCGCGCACATTTTAATTATCATCGGTCTTGACTTGTCAGCGCAACATTGCAACAATGTTGACATTGTCGGATGCACTCGGGCCCCGCCCCCCCGGGGAATTTTTTCCGTGTCCAGAATGCGAAAAGTTTGTCGTCGTCATCATTAACTATGAAACTGTTTTGTCTAAGTGCTAGAAACTAAGTTAGACTAAAGACGCCGGAGCGTGTGCGACGTGAGCGTAATTAATCATGGTTGATGCTCGAAACGTATATGGCAAACTTTGCGCGACGACAAGCGGTCGTAAACTTTTAAATCCCATAAAAATACTCGTTATTTGCGCAAAAAATCTAAGTTAGTACTTACTCAAAAAGTAAGGTGGCGACACCGTCGTCCGAAAAAAAGACGACTGGCGGCGAGTAGCGTTCATTCTGACTGCAGAGTTGATTCTCATGCGCGGAATACACTGGTTCCGTGCCGCTCATAAGCAGAAGATGGCCGCCGACACAGCTGTAATTCAATAATTAATTAATCACTTTGGTAAACAACCGCATTATGCTCGGAATGCATAATACGCGATTCGTTACCATCTATCTAGAGTCAATTAATGGTCCGCTTTGTTTGCTCTGGGTATTTGTTTATCAATTGCAATGATTGTATACGCGTCGAGCAAACCGACAAATTCAATAATCGAATAAATCACCAACAAACAAAGCGGAAGGACTCCATTGTTGCTTTCGAAAGGAAACACACTTTGAATTATATCATTTCCCAGTCGAATTTTTAATAAACCACCCTCGCACATCTCCAGGGTTTGCATTGTGGTCAGTTATTAATTAATGGACCTAAATTAACCTGGATTTAACAGACATTAGTTACCAAATCGATGCGCTTCGGTGAAATCGGCAAACACAAATAGCATTCGCCCCCGCTAGCAAGAGAGATGTGTCATATTGTCTTAATTATGAAGAGGCGGCGTCAATTAATCAGAAGCCAATTTGCATTCGGAGCCGCATTAGACACACTCCGAATCTTGTGCGATCATGCAATTTTGATGTATGCAAGTGTTTGCTAGACGCGCAACGCACCCCGTCACGCTGGCTAATAACCCAGTTTGGCGTTATTAATGGCGTCCAAATTTGATGTCGAAATCACGGGCGGCAGGTACACGCGTAATGAATTTATTTAACTTGCATGACATGTGGGTTGCGTTTCGAGTAGCTCATTTAGGTAAGTGTACCCTATGCAACCAAAATTACACTGCAATGCATTCGCAGTTCAATTTGGTTAATTTAAAAGAAATAAATACACAGTGAGTGTCAAAACTCACTCAAAATCAAGCGCTATATATTTATTAAACAAAACTAACGAGGCTTTTCAATTAGCGTCAAATATAATATAGAATTTCTCTATTTTCGAACGACTGTTTGACCTATGAAAACTGTTTATTTAGGTGGCGCGCAATATATTTCATCCAGCCCGGAGCGTCCTGGCTATTTCTATGCCATTTATTTCTGATTAAATTCGACCGGAAGTGAAATATTTATAGCCGAAGCTAAATATAAGCACGCGGCGCGTTTCCCACGAATATTAAGTGACATATCGTGGACAGCGCTGAAAATACTTCCGGCTGCATGCAATTAGCGCTTTCGTGCGCACGTCACGAAGGCGTTACCGAAACGGTCCGGAAATAAATGGACACACAGCATTTGAATATTCAAGCGCTGTCAGAATCTGGAGTGGATCGAAATTGCCCCGAATCTGTTTAAATCCCAAACAGCTGGGATTCAGCATTCAGTACTTAATGTTGTTTCAATTCACACGGTCAATTTAGGACTCATTATAATGTCATGTAAATTGTGTAGCAGCATTTTGCTAAGAATAAATTTTAGACGTTTGCAGGAATTTAGTGTTCCACACGGTGAAGTGGAAGGGAGTTGTCAAGGGTGGAAAAGACATTCGAAGCAATTTGTCAAGATTTATTGGTGCTGGAGCCGGAGTCCAGCACCGACACGACCATTCTATATATAATTGTCGCCGCGCGATGACACGAACGATGCACCTGGAGCCCCTCAAGCTCGGGGCTGACCCGGAAAATCGCCCTTCGATTACCGTGGAAACATAGCGGGGCTTAACCGACCCTAATGTACGTTAAACGCACGTTAATGTCCGCTTTGCTTAATTTTAAGCCTCGAGGTGGTTTTTCATGAAAGCGTATAAAAATTATTCATTATAATAGCCCGACCCTCTTTTAGATGTTAATTTTGTGCATTATCATTAAAATCACAAGACCACGCAATTCGAATTTCAATCACGTAACCAATTAAGTGCCAGTAATTATAGAAAAGGCATAGAAGAGCTTTTAACGATCGCCACCGCCGGGATAAAATCATGCATCCAGATTGCGGATTGCGGAATTGCTGAGCTCAATATTCGGTCGTTGGGACGTGTGTGATTTTGGTCTCCCACTCACCTGGTACCGTTGAAGCGGCCCGTATTGACGAGCCGGTAAATCTGGATCTCGATGCGCTGGAATGGCTGCGGCACGAAGGTGTAGTAGCAGGCATTGGGCCCCTCCAACGAGGGTGATTTTATCTGGCCGAAATATTTCCCTGATTTCTCGTACAATTCCGTCGATGTTATCGTCAGATTACACACTGTAAGATATTATAGAAATATACAGAATTTACTACCGCCGGAATTTGATGGTTTGTTATCAATATAAAGTGAACAAATATCCAAATATCGAGGACCTCATTCTTTATCTCGTTTTCCGGATCCACCTGCGCACCTATTCCACACGACATGAAAAATTACTCACAGGCAACGCAAATAAAAAAAAAGGTCACCGAAAAGCATCGCGTGCCATCCGAGGCAAGCAAAAAAAATTTCAAACCTTTTTGCGCTAATATAATTTATAACGTGTTTTGTTCCCCGCGGGCCCTAGACCGTACTCAACCTTCGCCGCGATCGATAAACGGATTTGCGGAAACGCGATTAATGAAATCAATTAATCAAAGTATCTTTCTTTCGCATGCGACGCGCGAGGCATCCACGAGAATGCAAACGGAATGGCATCCACTCATCCCCCAACGGATCAATGAAGAGGAAGATTTGATCACGGCCCCGAAACGCGCCGCATTACTGCATGCATGCAAAGCGGGGCTCCTCTCTCTTCTCGCTCTAGCAATCCCGACTATTTCGCGTAGGTCGAATTTAATAATTAATTCCGGGAGTGGGGGCGCGCGAGTGGCGCGTCAATTTTCGACTAGGAACTAAAATAACTTTGTCCAGAACACACATTGAATATGCTGACGCGGGTTCAGTTTATAGCACCGGCTGAAATGGGAAGTGCACACCTTTGTATTAGGAATTCAACGTGTTTCAACTTAATTATTTACATTCGGTTATTTATTTACCGCAATGTGATATGAGGCTGATCCTGCATCAGCATATTCCGACGTAAATAAATGATAATGTAGATAAAGTTGATTTGATTGCTTTGCAGAGACAAAAATTGATATCAGCGGCAATATAATATTATGCGCCTGCCGGCGCCCGTAATTGCGGACGTCATTTCGACAAATTGGACTCGCGAAAAGTTCGCAACTGCAAACTGCTGGCGAAAACACTCTTGTTTTGCTGCCATCACCGGAACGGTGAACAGCTGCAGCAGCCGTATATATTTTTCTCTGGGCGCACTCAAAACGAGACAAAAGTTACGCTCCTCTTCGTTCCACATTCAGGACCTAATAAATGTATTATGTTAATGACCTTTCGGGTAGTTGTATAGTCCCCGTCTAGTTTTGTTCCGAGGACAAAATTGGGAAGCAAGCTAATTGTCATGTTGTTGCCGCCATTGTGCGCATTTCCGGCATGCAGTTATGTCTCGGACGCTAAACGGGTTAGGGGTTAGACTAGTAGAAGCTTAGACGAGCCAGAATCACAGGGCAAGAACATCAAAAGCAGGAAAATATCCAAGCCGGCAGCAGCAGGTCTGAATCGAAACGGACGTTCGGCACTGGTCTAGTGTCCATTCGAGATCAGGGTTCCGTTTCAGTTGCAATCCAACTTGCTGGTGCTTGGTATTTTAGAAAGGGGTGATGGTCTAGTCTCTACTCTACTCACTGTGATTGCAGTACTGCTCGAGTCCACATTGTGTGCATCGATTCGGCGACTCCTTGCCGCAATGGCAGCCGCCGTCGGCAACACAGCACGCACACTGGGTACTGCCACCCTCCCATGGACAGGCACACCCCTTCGCCTGCTGCGTCCACAAGTCCACTTGGCCTGCGGAAACAATCAAACACATTTGTTCATTAGCCCCCAACAGAAAACAAAAACAAAAACAGCACCTACACCTAGACCCACTCAAGCAGCTCAAATCGTACGAAGAGGGTTTGGGAACTCTAAGACGTAAGCTAAGAGCTGCGGGGCTGCGGGCACATTACACACATCCGCGAACAACTTCATAAAGTCGTCGTCGGGGCTGCGTTTGCGGATTGAATTCTAGCACGCGTATGTGTACACAGGCTGCATACGTCCCTTGTCCTGCCGCCGAAAGTCCGACGGGTTTAATACCTCTCGGGCAGGAGCGGAAGCGGAAGCCGGGGAAATATGTACGCGGCTAATGCTTGTTGGAGCGCGACGCGCCTTTGGTTTCGCCTTCAGCGGCGCAAGACACAACAACTGAATTACGCGACCAACACCTAAGCCATGCAAATTAGCGAGGGCGCGCAGGTACAACTACCCCGTTCGCATAATTAATATGCAAACTTGTGCGCGAAGGTGCATTATTTGCATGCGCGCTGGGGTAAAAACACTCGCGCAGAGATAAGGTAATGAAATGTGTTTCGAAACCGCAAGGGTGTTTACAAATGGTTTCCCTTTTTTGTTACATCCGTAATTGTCCGCCATCTTGACCTCTTGATGAGAATATTTCAATTACTCAAAAAAAGGGTCAGGAGAGTAAATTTTCTTATAATGATAAATTTTTACTTAACAATGAAGTAACAAAAGATCACATAGTAATTTACGGTACACTGACAACGTAGTATTAGTCTCATCTGTCACTTGCATTACTCGCTTTCAGTTACTTTCTTCGAAACAGCTAACAATCGCTCCCGCAGCCCACCCCACCTCGTAATAACAGACAATTTGCAGCGCGAAGCAGCAAAGAAACACGAGAATTGCTTTCGAATGCTATTGCGTCACGTATCCATAGTCCTCCTCACCCCTTATCTATTTTCTTCCATAGTTGCAACGAAAATTTGCTTCGTGCGCAAGAAACGTACTTTGTGCATCAAGATTATAGCAATGTTTAATTAAAATCATCTGCCGTTCGGGAGGTAAACTCGTGTTTTCCTCCACGTGCGAGCTACATCTACATCTAAACGCTTAGCACTTTTTGCCATTCATCTGCATAATCAATAAGTACGAGTACACGTCCCGGTGTACACCTTCTCGCTTGGATTGCAACGCAATGTTGCAAAACCAGCTTTCCATTAAGCCCGCGTACATGTTTGTGTGTGGTGGAGAAAACAAACAAAAAACCAAATACAAAACGTTTCTCGGCACTCGGCGCGTATTATTTTTGCGCATCTGGCTGTGCGCGAGAAGGTACGCGGTAATGTTTTTCATTATTAAAACTCACATTTCACGCCGGAGCGTATGCAACGACTTAATTTCCTTTTTCATTAATTCATTGCCAACGACGGCTTGCTGCCTGCCTGCCAACTGACGGGACGTGCCTCTGATGATATGCGTTATTATAATAAATAACGTTTAATATATCATGCGGAAAATTAAAAAAAAACACAAAACACGGAATTTAATTTGTATACTTTACTCAAGCCTCCAAAGAAAACAAAACAGCACGGAATGTGCGTCACCAGTCACGCGACGGTAAAGCTAAAAATATGATCGTGAGTATTCGGACGTCCGAACTGTAGTTCGCACATCATGAGTCATCACGTTCACTAATGTGCCTACGATAACTATAGGTTGAGACGCAGTCGGGGTTTGGGCCGGGAGCGATGCACATCGTCGAATCAAATCAAACAAAACAAAAGATATAGAAACTATGCAAGTTATATTATAATTAACACGATACGCTTGTTCCAAACATTTTGTTAGCCAAACACACGAGTTTAACTCGGCAACTCTCAAATTTTCATCAGTATCACCGCAATCCTCGAGGCGATCATCATTAAAACGCAACTTCGCGTAGCACCGGACGGTCATCGCAACATCGCTAGCCAATCTACGAATTAATTGCTCAACTCCGCCGCATTTCGCATAACAATACTACCGAGGGTGGATTGTATCCCTACGCTCCAGGTTTAGCACTTTCTGAAAACACGCGCAAATCAAATATTTGCCGTCAAAATATAAATGCAAATCAGCTAATCAAGCCGGAGACATGCACGGCGCACATTATGCGTTTAATTAAAATAAACTTTGAACTTTCGGACGCACAAAACGGAAAAATACGCGAGAATAGGCATTTGCATTTCAATAATTAAAAAAGTTGCGTTTTTCCCCTGACTGCGAACGAGCGTGCGAAGCAAAACGTCCGGCGGCACGAACGCAACATGAACGAAAAAAGGTCTACTCGGCTGCCGCCTCCGCCGCTGGAGGCCTGAGAGTTCTGCTTTTTTTCTCTCTGTGCCGAGTTTTTTCTAGACCTACACTCCTACACACAATGCTTGTCATAACGCAGCTACAATATGAGCAAAAGACAATGGCGTGATTCAATCGCGTTTGTTTTTGTTGCATTGGGGGCTGATTTTGCGATTTGTGCATTTTTCCACAACCGCCTGCCAATTTCAGCCCGAGAGCGCATATCTCACCGATCGATCCCTGCCCAGCTCCGAGTTTCAATTTAAATTCGAAACTTTAAAACACAGCCCGCTGCTTCATCGTTGTGGTTGCGACGCAAGTCATAAAAGCATTTCGTGATTGCGGCCTTTAACGAGTCAAGCGGAAGTAACGCGAAAAACTAAGTTGCGAGCGTAACGCATTTGCAAGCCGCCGGAAAATGAATAAAATATTTATCAGGTACTGAGCGGGCGGCAAGTTGCTACCGTCGCCCGGCGCCAACTGTTATTGTGTTACGCGTTACGATACAGAATTTATCGCAGCACGCGTAAAATATTATCGCAATCGAACATCTGCTTTTATTTTATAGAAAAATCTAGACGCTCGTAAATATCACACGCAGCTTTGTCTTTTTCCACACAACAGGAAAATATTTTTCAACTTTTACGATTTGCCCGTTTTGCATTTATATCGATAAATTCAGAGAAAAGAATCTTATTCGATTTGGTTTTGCTTTGACGCAACCTCCTCATCCTTTCGCACTCGCGTGTTGATTGACGTTAATTGCCCGTGGGTTGCAACACGCGTACGGAACACACTCGAAAACAATTACGCACTCGCCACCCCCCAAACAAACGGACCACTCGACGCTGGGGGTGGCATGCGGTGTCTGGTATCTAAATGCGAATGGAACGGGGATGTACACGCCGCCACTTGCTTTCGCTACTCCGCATAAGGATTACACGGCAGTTAATCAACAATTCGTGTTGGTTGTATTTGTGTGCAGAGCGTCAATGTTGATATCATCACTTTCTTTGTCGCACACGGATTAGAATTTTGAGTTTCATCCAAGGTAGAAGGATGAATCTTATACCGGCGTAAATAATTGTTTACTCTTCAATGAAGGTGGATTATAATTATTCATCAAGTTTATAATTAATCAAGGTACAAGAGGAAATTGAAAATTTCATCAAAACAAACAAGAAAATCACGATTTCAGATTTCATTTTGGACAACTTGTAAGAAATCCGTGTTTATTATATTTAGCTCCCGGAAATCAAGTGTGCAACATGCGTTACACAATTCGGTATTAATTACTGCGATAATTAATTCGCGAATGCTCGCGCATTATGCATCGCAACAAATTTGCGGCGCCGCGCACGTCGGCGGGCCGAAGTAATCGCTTTTTGGTTAATTTGAAAATGTAATTAAATCCTCCCTCGATGCGCGTCGCATATGCGCTCACCGGCATACTACACGTACTATCCGCGTCGAGTGCATAGTAAAGCATCGAATTAGAGTTGTACAGCCGGACAACACGCTTGATAATTACGATAATAAACTGAATATCAAGTATCCGCCACGTATTCATATTATTTTTCTACCAATCCGAAAAAAAATAGCAATATCTCTGATTTTACAATAAAAATCGCCCTAAACTTGTGTAATTACTGACCTTTTTTAATCTTGTTCATTAAAAACTTGCTAGCCGCGTAAAAACAACGATTACACGCAAAAAAACTCGCACAAATGACCATCGCACACAGAAAACGCAGTAAACAAACATCTGCGAGCGGTGAAAAACATCGGATAAAAACGTGTAATATGAAGCACAGTCTGGGATAGTCTGGAATAGTCTGTTCGACTTACTTTTTCCGTCCACGTAGATAGGCGTCCAGGCAAGCTGCCCGTCGGAGGGTGAGGGTGCGCCCAGCCATACGGAGAGACACAGGAGAACCGCAAAGCCTAGGCGATACATCGGTTAATGCTGCGTTTTAAAGTTTGCATCACACGCCGACGACGAGATACGATCACACCAGGGTTGCCTACGTCAACTTCCGGTCCTGTGATATATCCGCCATATTGTCCCTGCAAAAAAAATTAAACAATTAATTTTTTAAATTTTATTACGCAGGATTCCGGTGTAAAACAATGATTTTTACGACGTCCGAGTGGCTGGTTTTAACATAACCAGTAAACTAGCAATTAAAAAAAATATTTATACGATTGTCCTCAACGTAACGAGAAATTTTACGAGCAGGTTTTACAACGGCTCTCGTTCAATATCTAATGCCTAATGGTATTACCAGCGATCGTGGAGCCAAACCCAGGATATTCAGGACATGGCAAATTTCGCAATTGCCGCTCGGCCAGTCGCACGTCTGGGAATAGCAAACGGTCTCTGCATTTTTCCACCGCTCTTATCACGCGCCGATCTAAACGTCCACAATTTCAGCGGATGAAATTTTTATCATTTTAGCGCAATTCATAGACGCTCGTAAACAACAGGTGTAAGTAGATACTTCTGCACACTCTAAAAATAAACGATTTTCTTCATAACGCAAGCGTCTGAAATGTATTGTTGGCGAGAAAAGTGATTGTCTTTGAAAGTCGATTTGTGCGCGCCCGTAATTGGTAGATAAATGTTTCGCTTCTAAGAATTTGTTGCCGCGAATGGAAACTGAAACACTTTTGTAATTTCGAATTTCAACTGCTATGTTATCCGAGTCTGTTGGCACAATGGGATTTCCTTCGCTTTTATTTTTCATCAACGGAACCACCCCGCCGATGGCGACGCGCGAAATAATCCTCCAAGTTGCGCGCGTGGAACTTTTATCATTTGCGCACAAAAGACTTGCGCGCCTTATCTGTCGTTCGAAAGCGCTCACAATAAAACGCAAACACATAAGTTATCCGAGATGCGAATTGAGTTAGCGAAATTAATTGAGACACTGGTTTCATTCACAAAATAAAAATTACAAAATTACACGTTTCAATCGCGAAATTTATTAATCCTCACACTAATAGAACTAGTTTAAGGTTTGGTGGCTTACGTCCATCCGACGCGCATCCATTCAGCCGATCCATAAATGCATTATTCGCTTAATACGAACATCGTACGCGCCGTCGCGTTGAAAGGCTTCAAAAGAGCGATCATTTAGGCGCACGACGATAAGACGACGCAGCATGTGGCCCTCTTTTTTTCCTTATCTAATCTTTTGCCTCCTTTCATATATGACCGACATGCCAGGCATCGCTCGCTGTACAAAAGGATGACGTACGAAACGCATCGAGTGGGAGCTGAAGTGTATCGAGCAAAAAAAAAAAGATTTTTGTGTTCATACGCGGCAAAAAATGCTTTCAGTGCAAAAGCGCAATAAAAACCAAGCGCCAATATGTCAAGTGTTGTAAAAGCCTATAAATTATTTAATTCTAGAGGGCATATTTACTACTTTTTACTCATTTTGAGAGATAAGTATGTTTGTTTCTCGATAACTCAAAAACCGCTAAAGCAATTATGATAAAATTTTATATAGAGATATTTATAATCATGGGAAAGAATATAAGCTACTTTTTATTGCAAAAATTTAACAATAAAGGTGATAAATGAGGGTTGAAAGTTTAAATGAGGAATTAATCATATTTATAGTTAATTAATTGAAATATAGATGGCGCTAATCACAGAATGTACCCCTGGTTCATAGGATATTATCGAAATCTATTCACGTTGGCAAAGCATGTGAGCTTAAAGCTTTCAGAGAATTTCGTGCTCATCAGCTCAAATAAACACCAGCCCTTAAATTAGATTGTATTAAGACGCTACACCACCGTCGAGAATAGCGTATAGAGAGTAAATTGTCATCGACACGAAGGTGAATCCCCGAAACCACCCTTCATCCTCGCTTTCCCACAGCCCAAATTCGACAATAATGCTTCGCATCTTGAGCGCGCCACGCAAATGGCACATCAAGCCACATCAAAACATCGCCGCACGCATTTCATATTCAAAACACACTTGCGCATTTACATATTTACATGCCATCCAAGAGGACGGTTTGTTGCTTTACTGACACAATTCGAAAATCGCGCATGCTTCAAACACTTTGTATGTAAACGGGCGCAAATTATGACATTGTGGGGGCAGTGAAAAAAGCATGACACAAAAACTCCTCAACCGGGACATCTGAAACGATAAACGGTTTCATCAGAGCAGAGGGTTGAAAATGCAAAGCAATTAGTGCGGCCCAATTCGCATATCACATCAGCCAAGCACACAAAAACCTCCAACGCATGAAAATATTAAAGCTTGTTAGCTTTCATTCGTACATCCAGCCTTATTTTTATTATTTCAGCGCAATGTTTCAATTTTGAATACGGTGGAAAAAAATGAAACAACACGTTCGGGATATTTACCCAATTCGTTCAATTTGAGAATTGAATTGCAAAACAAAAGCCGAATTTCAATACAAAAGCATACAGGGTGTAAGGGTGGATGGTGTGTGGGGGTGTAAGTCGCCCAACTGACGATTACCTTACTCCCGGCCACATAACTTGGCAAGCGGAGAACTCCTCGGCATCTCAGCGTTTCCGCGTCTCTGGCAACCCACAGAAGGGTAGCCGAGCTGCAAATGCGCCGTGGAAATTCGGCTGTTTTGTGATGTAGTTGCTGCATTTCCGCAAATATTCCCGACGAGCATGTGTGCATGCATTTCGTGCACATTCACACCGCCTATCTGTCAATCCAATCTATTCTGGTGTTATGAGCACGAACAATAAATTCGGTTGGAAGATTGCTGTTTTCCATATTTCAGCATTTCAATATATTGCTAGTATGTGAAAATGAAATCATTTTTCACTACAAATAATTTTTAAAGTAAAAAATTTAAAAAATTAGTTAATTTGCTCCGCCCATAAATTTACTGCGCATGCGTAACGTTTTAATGCTGTTTTTATGTACAAAACGTAATAAAATGCATTATAGAAATCAATTGTTTTGTAATTGTGCAAATGCATAATTTCCGGGTGGCAGTCGCACGTTTGCATGCTCATTTTCGTGCGGTTGGCGTCAATAAATTTCCACCTTGTTATTTACACGTTCAATTACGACCGCGCGCCGCGGCGAATATTGCTTTTTAACGGACAATCAATACCTGCCGCACTTTTATTGCGCTTTTTGCCGCAATCCGTCCAACGCCGGCTGGATATCTTTATAAAATCGATATTTCTGCCGACGCACATCCGCCGTCGAAGCCAAGTAACCCTTAAAACCGCTGGGAATTCACTATGGACTTTGAGAATTTCCTAACTTGTCTCTTGGATCACCCAACTCATTTTGTTACGGCGCAAGAAAAACGCGAAAATAAATTATTCAGATTATATTATTTGATGTATAGTTGGCAATAACCTTGGGCGCTTTTATTTCATCCGTTTGAGAGTTAAAGTTAAAATCTTCTTCGATTGCAAAGAATTCCTAGAATTCTGTAAAAATAAAACCCGAGACATCGTTATTTGTCTTGTGTTTTTTTATTGTTTTTTTCTCTGAAGCACGTTTGTGCGTATTTCTCAATATCGACAAAGCTTCAAAGGCTTTCCCGGCTTTCCACCTACGCATAAAAATTGCCACCGGGCACGCACGTGTAAATTTGCCACAAAACAAATTCAATTGCAGCCATTATTTATTAATCGCACAAAAAGCCTCCAACGAAAAAACCTCGAACTAATATTTTTGTTGTTTTGTGAAAATGCAAGCAACAATTTTTCATTTCCTACTCGTATAACTCGACATATGTCACATCCACGTACGCGGCCGGCTTGTCAAACGTATTCAAAGCTTTTTCGGCGCATTTTTTTGCGCGCGTTATGCAAGATTGATATTTCGCAGCGCAGCACTGCGTGGCGCCCCACATCCACATGCAATCAACATAACCGAAAGAAGCAGAGGCGGCGTGTGCAGCACATACGAGAGTGAATGCCGAGGCGAGCATGGATTGCGAACGTCCGAAAGTTATGATTTATTTCCAGGACGACGTGCGGGCGCAAAATATTAAAAACATCGATCGTCCGTTTGCGGTCCGGCGGCGGCGGCGGCGTGTTCTTGCCATGCAGATTAAATGCGCGCGCGCGCCATGAAACACTTTGCCTAATGGAGTTGAAAATCGACGAATGCAGCGTGAAAGCAAAACATAAACAGAAACGATGCAGGCGCCTCTACGCCATCACAGCCGGCGTCGAATATTCGATGTGCAATATGCGAACAAATCGAGTGTAAACAATACGGGCATTTATTCTTACATTTTACGTCTTGTTCTCGCTCAATAACGCACAAAAAACGACAACATATACTTAATATAATCATACTCATTATACTCCACATCAAAAATCGTATTTTTTGTAATAAAATCGACGATAAAAAAAACGAATTTAAATATTCTGATGTGCTGATGCGGTGATGGACTGGAACTACTTGAATAAAATAAAAGTTGGCCTTAATGCGGATGCGAAAGTTGGAGCGCGCAACTTCCTCGACAGCTTCCAGAGCTACTCGAGCGCAGCGCGTCAACGTCAACAGGGTCTGCCAGCAAAACAACCACTACGAACCCAACCACAACATTTAGAAACGCAATAAGATGGATGGCTGGTAAGAGAAAACCCAGTTACCCAGTATTTTCGCACATTTAAGTACCGCCGACTAATTAACAACCTGATTATTCATACATGCACATTCAGAATTTCGCACTTTGATGAGAAATGGCGCGGAAACTATAGAAGAGGTTAGGGAATTCTACCGACGTTGCATAACAATCAATGTCAGTTCATAAATTCCAACCCTCCGAGTCATTATCGTCGGGGCATCCTCTTAGGAGAGAAGATCAGACCATCAGACCATCAGGACCCCAGGAAGCAAACCGAACACTTCAGTCAAGGGATCGGGGGCTAATATGCAGTAAATTTCGTTGTGTTTGTGCTGCGCTGTTAGGCAAACACCCACCACGTGCCAAGATTTCACCCGTTCGTGTCAAAGAAGGGCCCGGAAGAAAAAAAACTATCTGCTACCTGCACAAATACGTGTTGGGTCAGAGAGTTAAACT